ATACCTCCAAGACAGAAATCTTCCTTTGAAGCACCAGCTTGTTATGGGTAATGCTCCAGCTCACCCTCCAGGCTTGGAGGAAGAGTTGATGGAAGAGTTCAGTTTTATCAATGTAAAGTTTTTGACCCCCAACATGACTCCACTCATCCAGCCCATGGACCAGCAGGTCATATCTAATTTTAAGAAGCTTTACACCAAAGCACTGTCCCAAAGGTGCTTTGAGGTGACCTCGGACATAGAGCTAACCCTCAGACAGTTCTGGAAGAATCATTTCAATATCCTACATTGCTTACATCTCATAGACAAAGCACTGAGGGATGTGTCTCACAGAACAATGAAGTCAGCATGGAAGAAACTGTGGCCAGAAGCTGTCTCTGAATGTGTATTTGAGGATGTTGAAGAGGTTGCTTGTATTGTTGAGGTTATTGTGTCTCGGGAAAGTCCATGGGCTTAGAAGTGAGTAGTGATGATGTGAAGGGGTTAGTGGAGGACCACAGGACTGAACTCGCCACAGAACTTCAAAACATTCTGACAGAGCAGCAACAGGTGACAACTGAGGAATTGTCTTCGGAGGAGGAGGGAAGAGAAAGTGTTTCTATTGCACTGATCAAATAAATGTGTGCAAAATGGGTTGAAGTACAAACTTTTGTTGAAAAATATCACCGATAAAGCTATTAGTCATGCCACTAACACTTTCAATAACGATGTGTCACACCTTAGATAAATTTTAAAACATTGGAAAATGTAAATGTCAATTGAAAAATTTTTAGTGAACCAGGTGTCAGTGGTGTAAAAAAATCAAGAGACGGAATGGCAGGAGAGGAGTCACCTCAGTGATTATGGAAGAGGGCTACAAAACACCTGACAACAGTCACCTATTGTGATTATTGAAGGGGACCCCCCCCATCCAAACCATGACTATCATCATTGCAGGTAAGAAAAAACTACATTTTCATTTTTATCATTTACAGTACTGTTTTTACATTTTGCTTATCGCTTTTAAAGCTTTTTTTTAAAAAATATATCTTTATTGACTTCAGAGAGAGGAGAGGGAGACAGATAGATAGAAACATCAATGATGGGAGAGTCGCTGAACGGCTGCCTCCTGCACGCCCCTGACTGGGATCGAGCCCGCAACCCGGGCATGTGCCCTGACCAGGAATCGAACCCCAATCGCCTGGATCCTAGGTTGACGCTCAACCGCTGAGCCACGCCCGGCCGGGCTTATCATTGCTTTTACAGTACAGTATATTTATTGCTTTCATTGTGTATCATTTTATGCATCTGTGGTATGATTAGATAGTAAAATTTATCTTAAGTTGCTGATTTAGGGGTTGATTTTAAAGGTCTGGGACGGATTAATCCATTTTGCATTATTTTCTATGGGAAACCGTGCCTTGGTTTTCGAACGTTTCAGAACTCGAAGTCTTTCAGAATGGATTACATTTGAAGACTGAGGTACCACTGTAGTTCCACACTAAGCAGTTCTAAAGCCCTAAGTCGGGGGAGGAGAGGGACAGAATCAGAACGCCTCCTACCTCATCAGAACCTCAGGTGATAAGAAACTGACTCATGATAGCCTCTTTGGTAGATAGGGAGGTTGAGAACTGGCCTCAAAACATTTCCTCAGAAGCCTCTCGTGCTGTGTGTTCCAAAGATGACAGAGTGTTCTACCAATACTTAGATAAGCTTGCCTACCTGGCCTACATGGAGACATGCAAGGCAGCCAAAGCGCCAGAGCACCATGGAAGAACCATTGGCCTACACCAGATATCCTCCTCCTTGCTTGCTCTCCATCTGCAGGTCTCTATTGTCAAGTCTCCTCCTCTGAGCTGCCTTCCCTGACCACCCTGTGTAAAACAGCACATCCCATCACTCTCCATCTCCCGTTTTATTTTCCTTAGTGCTTGCCACTTCCTAATGTTACAGTGTGTACTACTTTACTGCTTTATTGCCCATGGACCCCAACAAGACATGCATGACTCCTGAGGGAAAGAAATTTGTTATATTCTTTGCTGTGTCCCTACTATTATCTGGCACACACAACATTTACTGACTACATCTACCTACCAGATACTGTTCTAGATATTTCCCACATCTTGACTCATTTAACAGGTATTATCCCCACGTTGCTGTTGAAGAGACAGGCTTTTAGAGGCCGGGGTTTTGGAGGAGGGAAGGCAAGATCATGCTGGGCAAAGGGATGGTCCTTATGTCCAGAAAATCTAGAGGGGTCCTGAGGGGAGGTGAAGCAGGAAGCCATTACCTGGAAAATACAAGGTATGTCAGATGTCAAGAAATAGAAGCTAGCATTTATAGTGTGTCTTGAGGCCTGGAGTAGAAATGCCTACAACTATGGAGAAGGCTTTGGGAGACAGGGCAGGCCTGCAGAAAACAGTTGACAGCTACCCACTTCCCACACCAACATGGCACACCTCTTTAGAGTTTTCTTTTTAACTTTTTATTATGGAAAATCTCAAACTTACACACTAGTTTTGATAGAATGAACTTTCATTTCATGTACCAATCACTAAGATTCAACAATTATAAATATAGCGTTTTTCTTGAGGATTTTTTAAAAAATTGATTTTACAGAGAGGGAGGACAGAAACATTGACGTGAGAAACATCAATTGGTTGCCTCCTGCATGAGTCCAGACTGGGGATCAAACCCCCAATCTGGGCATGTGCCCTGACTGGGAACTGAACCCATGACCCTTCAGTTCATGGGATGCCACCCCAACCAAACAAGGTACATTGACCAGGGCTAAACACAGCAGTTTTCAAACTACAGGCTCCATAAGCATGAGTGGTTTTGGGCCAGCTGACTTTAAACAAACACAATAAGCTAGGAAACATCAGGGGACTCTGCACATTTCATCATTAAACTTTTCTTCCACTTACACAAATGGGTGGACTGGACCCCAATGAAGAGAAGTGTACTTCATACTATGGATTGCAGTCATAAAGTTTAAAATAGACTGCAAATTCTGTGCTTGAAAGTTTAAAAATTTCACTTGATGGCGTATTAGGAATGTTTATGCAGAACAATGACACAGATTTTTAGAAAAATTTATCTTTATTGAATTAGATGTCACCTTTCTTCCCCCATTGACCCCTTCTACCCTGCACCCACCCCAGGCCTTCACCACACTATTGTCTGTGTCCATGGGTTATACATAATGCCACAGATTAAAAAAAAGAATTATCTTTGTTTAAAGTACTAGATATCCATTTTCCCCCCACTGATCCCCTCCACCCTGCATCTGCCCCCATCCTCCACCACAGATTTTTTAAAAAACAATTTAGAAGCTGTAATTTTCTTTGAGCATTCACTGTAGGTAGGACTCCCCCCACCCATAGGATTTAGGGAGGCTCTCCATAACCACTAACATTTCTCCAGTGTATTGTATGCACATTCATAGAGTGGGAAAAATAAAGTTTATAAAAAGCAAGTCTGTCCTGTCACCAAATTTAAAAATCCTTTTCAGATCTTGAGGCACTCTGAATTACAAGGGATCCTGGTCCTTATGTTAACACAGGAAGGGGTGGGAGATGAAAGAGGTATGCAGCTGGGCAGGGACATGGCATGTTTTGTCTTGATAAGCAGAGTGGTAGGAACACTGGTACTGATCCTTATCCAATTCTATTTTTTACATACCTTAAGTATTCACAGCATCTTTTAAAAGGCTAGTTCAAAGTTTTCTACACCTCTACATTTAGAATGGGAACAAGGGTGTGGGGGTAGTATCAAGGACCCTTAATTCCTCCATCAGGTGTGGACACTATTCCTTTACACACTTTGAACCTGAGGCAAAGGAAGGAAGCAGGGTCTGAAACAGTGATTCAGCTCACATGGCACCCCATGTGAAGGGCAGGGCTTGGGGTTTGTTCTGGACCTTGAAGTAGGGGGGTTGTTCATTGGGTGTTTGTATAGTTTTTGGTATAAGCCAAGATTCAGGGCTTGAAAAGTATTTGCACGCCAGGGGTCTGGTCTTCACAGGCATTGGGACACAGGTTCTAAAGGTACCTTTGAGTGTTTGGGAGTTCCTGTTTTCTGTGGGTTCTTGGGAAACATGGATGTTACTGAGATGCTGGTAGAACTGAAGCAGAGGAATAGGTACTTTTGTCTTAAAATTTTGATTAGCATTTTTAGTGCCAGAAAAAAACCAACTGTGAGTTCTCCAGGCCCTTCCTTAGAGCAAATAAAACAGCAAGAGACTAGGCCTCCCTGGGTTGGATTACCACAAGGCACCTTCTGAAACCAGGAGGGCAGAGCAAGTTGATCAAGTTATCCTTCAGGTCTAGGTGGCTATTTATTGTCTGTATTGATGTCACTTAGGGGATGGATCATTTTGTTGTAGGAACTTTGTCGTTTGATTATGGGATTCTCTATCAGGTGGCACTGGGGGTGATGACATTTTATTCCCAGAGGTGCTGGGAACAGAAAAGCCCTTCCTCACCCCCTCACAAGGCTGTATTAGTGGTCTACTGCCTTAGCTCCTTGAAGGTCCAGCACAGAATGCCTACTCAGACCAAGTACTCAACTGTTAAGGGCAGCCACAATGCCTTTACCTGGGTGGAAGAAGTGTCTGTGGGGCCTGTCCCAAATAGCTGGTAGACCTGGGAGCAGGCTGCCTATACTGCACTCACAATACAGGGAGCCATGCTGTCAGTTTGGGCTGCTTTAATAGTACCATAGATTAGATGGCTATAAAAAGAAATTTGTTCTGAAGGTTTGAAGTTCAAGATCAGGGTACTAGCATGGTTCAGCTCTGGTGAAGGCCCTCTTTCCAGAATGCCTTCTATTCTCACATGGCAAAACAGAGTGGGGAAGCAAGCTGCCTCCAACATCATGAGGGTCCCTTTGAGTCACCCCCCAAAGGCCTCACTTCCTGCCCACCTCCCCTAAATTCTTTGCTCAAAGTCTCCCTTCCCAATCTTCCTCTATTTTTAAATTACAAACTAGGTAGAGTAAGGAAAAAGCACCATTGATATCAATTTGTTTTTAGGTTTCATTTTTTTAATCAGCTCCATGAAGGACATCCTAAATACTACATGAAACGCAACAGAAACTTTTTCTTCCAGTATTTAAAAAAAACCGACATTCACAAGTATTTTAAGAAACTTCTAGATAATCAGGGCAGTGATCTTCAGTAAAAACACAAAAACACAAAAACAAGAAAACCTCTAAGTAATCATGATTTGAGATTTCTTGCAGTTACATTTGGAAATTGCTTCCTAACCATGATAAACACTGTGTACAAATTTTAAAAATGTCCCTAAATATATACTCTTTCCTGGAGGGGATCAGTCTGGCCAAACTTTTTTTTTTTGGCCAGGACCAATCCTGAGAGCCCAAACTAAAAAAACTGGTAAAAGGAAAAATTCCGGACTCTATAAAATGGCCCAGAATTTGTCTTTAAATGGGAGAGAAAAAATAAAACACACGGAGCTTTCTAAAAGGTCTTTAACAAGCTACCCTGGGAGCTCAATTCAAAAATAGAAGTCGACGTACTAAAACAGATGTTTCAGTGCAGCTCCAAAACTCTTTATAAATACAGCCATTTGGAAGGATGATCCTGGATCAGAAGTTTTATTCCTTGTGTATCTGAGAACAGTAAGGAGAAGTATTGGGATGTCAGAAGGAACAGGCTGACACGCTCACCTTCTGGGGTTGGTAAGGTTACTGAGGGCTTCACAACAAGGATACCCCTTCATCTCCATGCCCAGCAGATTACAGGGGAGACAGGTTTTCACATATAAGTCTCACCTACATTAGGTGCGGCATGCCTCATCTCAGTTGTCGTAATTGTCTCTGTAATTTCCTCCTGAGTAGCGGTCATAACCACCCTGGCTTCTGGGAAAAAACACAGTGTTATAGAGGAATGTATCAGAAACTCCTAGCTAATATTAAAAACCATATTTACATATTCCATCACATTTTATTTTCTAAATGTCAATGTGTAAAACAGGATATATTAAACACAGGAACATCATGTAGAAGTCACAATTATATGGTATACAAACACAGCATTAAGTCGTATTAAATGTTAATGCAACAGACACAATTAACCAACACAGTACAATAAACATTACCACAGACTACCATCTTGTGATCTTACATGTAATGCATTACATGTTTTAACTCAAAATATAATGCTTCATACTTGTCTGTAAAAACAAACATTAGTAACACCACAGTGATAAGTATGAACACCGAAGCAGACCAGCTCTTAAGGAGATAAAGGCAGCACCATGAGAATGCTCCAACTCTTTAGCTACCCACCTGCCACCATAATCTCTGGACCTTCCATATCCATATCCATATCCTCCAGGTCGGCTGTCATACCTGCCACTCCCATAGCCCTGGTCCCCACCACCTACATGAGAGACAAATATTTAAATTGGAATTGTCCAGACATAGGCCACTAACAGGTAGCTCTCCCTCACACCCCATGATGAAATTTACCATTGTAGTTACCTCTAGAGTAGCTGCGACCACGCCCATGGGCCCCAAAGGCACCCCCTCTGGTTCCCCTGGCGGACTTGCCCGCATGGTCCACACGGATCTGGCGACCATCCAGAGACTAGGTGTGAGGAGACACAAAGAGGATGGGTTGGTGGTCACACAAGGAAGTGGTAAGTAAAGAGCGGGCAGGGCAGGTGGGCAAAAGAGCCCAGAAACTCCTTCTGGGCACCAGGTTCTGGGTGCCATGTTCCAGAACAAGCTCCTTTGACCAGAATGGCCTTATCAGGAGCTATAGAATCCCACAAAATGACCTAAATCCACCGTGTTCCCCTGCTACTACTTACATCTTGACTGAACTCAGGTGAGTTCTCCTCCCCACTCCTCTAAGCTGCCCAACTATTAGGGCTAGATAGACACCTCTCTTGGTTTGAGGCTTCAGAGTCCATCCCAGAAGACTCACGAGGTCCTCTCCGGGCCAGGCCCGCAGGTCTGCAGACTCTACTACCTAAGCCCAGGGCAGGTCAACCATCCACAGGTGGCTTCTCGGCCTCATGCAGGACCAGTCGTCGCCTCCCAGGCAGCCCGGCTCTGTCTGCCGCTGCCCTCCACCCCCTAGAACAGAAGGCAGTCACGCTCCTGTGAGTGGGCACTGTGGGGTTTGGTGGCCGCGCTGCCCCTAGCAGACACAGAGGGAAAAACAGAAAGAATGGTGGAAGTGGTAGAGATGGGGGCAGGACCCCTAATGCAGGTAGAAGGCCTCACCTCTCCATTCATGGCTCTCATGGCATCTGAGGCGTGCTCTGGATTGGTAAAGGTAATGAAGCCAAAACCCCGGGATCGCTGAGTCTCCCGGTCCTTGACAACGACCACTGGGGAAGAGAAAGAGAAGATGGATAAGAGGAAAAGTGACCAATCCTCAATTTAGAAGTTATCTGATTCTCCAAAGCCTGAACTACACCTTAGACTTAGGAACCAAGCAAAGAAAGAGGTACACGAAGGCCTGGCGCCCTGACCTCACTCTCAATGTTGGCTGAAATGTAAGGGTCCCAGGTTTCCTCTAACTATCCACCCCCATCATGGGTCTAGCCCACCTCTCACCTTCAGAAATTGGCCCGAAGCTGCTGAAGTGATCTTCCAGAGCCTGTTCATCGGTGTTGAAGTTGAGCCCTCCAACGAAGAGCTTCCCTTCTTCAGAGGACATGGCAATGAATTCAAGTCCTGTGGGGAGAACATGGAAGAGGGTGGGGTGGAAGTGGGAGAAAAAGGTTGGAGAAAGGATGAAGAGAAAAGGCGGGGGGAAGAACAGAAAATAGACACGAACAAAATAAGGCGTAACTAAGAAGAAATCAATAAGGCAGATCGAAAAGATGGAAATCTGCGGGCAGGCTGAGCGAGGTGGCCATTTGGGGGCCGCCTTCGCGCATGCCCACAACATCCCCTGACACCACGCCCGTCATTTTGTGCCGCTGCGCAGGCCCAGAATGCCCATGCGTTGACTGCGCCCGCCGAACAAGATGGCGGCGGTCACGTGGGAAAAGTCCCCCCTCCCCCGCAAGTCTCGGCCGCCGCGTGTTCACTCGGGAGACCAACCCCAGCCCCTCCTGTCCCAATCAATCCCCCAGCCCCTCCCAGCACTCCTCGCGCTTGGATACAGCTCGCCAGCCTCCCACCAAACCAAGTTTGATCTCGAAGCACGGGACCCCCCGGCCCAGAAGCCCAAGCCTACGTGTCCGAAGCCGCTACTCTTCCCACTTGCACGCCTTGCTCTAGGTCGGCGCGGCGCACACCAGTGAGGCGAGGAGAGGCCGCTCCTTAAGTCAGACACCGCTTACCTGAAAATTAAGTAAAAGGGCTGGAAGGACAGTTACCGCCAAGGAGCCGAGCGACTGAGGAGGAGATCGCGCGGGAAGACGCTTAATAAAGCGTACGTAGCGTACACGTCACTGAACGTCCTCCCACGCGCGCTCATTGGCTGAGGCCAGCGAGGGGCGGGGTGGGAGGAATGGACAGCGGAGCAAAGGAAGCCAAGTGCTTTGCATGCTTCCGGGAACTGAGGAGAGCTTTTTGTGGTCCGGGCACTATGACGTAAACATCCTTCCACAGACCCCAGCCAGCTTCGCCCCTTTTGCGCACGAACCTTTTCGCTTTCACATCCCTTTCCCTCTCTGCTCTCACTTCCTTGACGTCATTTCCCCATTGGTTCCCACGACTTTCTCACCATCTCGGTCGTCTTTCCCTAGGTCCCTGATGACACAATTACCGTCCTCTGATAACCTCCTTCACCTTCTAGTCCTCTAACCTCATCTCTCTCGAGGGCCCTATGTTTTATACCCCAAGGGCCCAATGTTTAATCCCCCACTTTCCCTGACAGTCCTTAACATCAGACCTTACATCTTCTCAGTGCCTTACCCTGACCTCTATGTTTTCTTCTCTGTGCCCAACATCTAGCCGCCTGTCGTGGGACCCTTTTCCCTGGCATCATTCCTCCTCATTTCTGACTTCAGCCTTCATCTTTACCTGATAGCCTCCTGAAGCCAGTCTTTTGATTTACCCGCCAGTAGTTGTGCCTGAGGTGCCTTCTAAAAACCAGGATGCTCCAATCTTCAGAGGAAATAAATCCCAGTCCACACATTTATTGCTGTCACTCAGGGTTGCTGAGCTCTTGATACACAGAAAGGACATTGACAATACACAGTGGACTTATCCAAAGCAAGGTGTGTCTGAGCCTACTACCCACAATGTGGTCTTGTGCAGCCTTCAGAGTGTCTGAGCTACTTTTGCAATGAAAGGATTTGCAAGACTTCATTTCTGAGCTCCCTATCCAGGAAGAAATGAGTTAGTTTGCCCTCAAAGACTAAATTTCTCATCCACAGAATGGACTTGTCTAGCTTTCTAAGGGTCAGCCCCCAGAACACAGACTAGATTTGTTAACTTTCAGAGTACAGTATCATATGCATCCACAAAATGAACTTTTCTGTTTTTTGCTATATTCAGACCTCCTATGCCCAGGATGGACATGAACAGATTTCACACTGTCCACATACATGCAGGTCTTAGATAGCCCTCAGAGAATCTGAGCCCCATGCAAAAAAAAAGAGGTACTTGTTTGCATTTCAGAGTGTCTGACCTCTGATCATATTCCACAGTTCATGACACATAGTCATTGTTGTTCCATGCAAAGCCCCTCATTTTATTTATTCTCTTTTATTCCTGCACCTAACTATCATTCCCTTCCTCCCACAGTTGGCCATTTTATTGGGTTTAATGTGTATCTTTTTGTGTGATTTCATATAAAATCTACATTTTGACTATGCTTTTAATTAAAGTAAATGGTAGTATTATTCTGTCCCCCTACCCCAACCAACATTATGTTAAGATTCATCTGTGTTGTTATTGGTGCAGCTAACCTATCTGTTGCTTCTAATGGTTGCAATAAACTCCAATGTGTACATCCACTGCATCATTTTACCCCTAGGTGCTCCCAACGAGGGACACTGGGCTGCCTCCAACACCCCATTTCAATAAATTATGCCTTGTAAATGCTCCCTTATGGGCCAGTGTGAAAATTTTTTTAGGATATATACTCAGAGGATAGCTGGGCCACAGAGGATGTACATAATTTCTGTAAGCAGTGCCAGATTGTTATCTGGAATGGGTGGAACAATGTATGAAGGGGCCTACATTCCCCCGTCTCTGTCAACACAGCATTATCTAGCTTTCTAAAATTTTCCAGTCTAACCAGTGTAGTCATATTTCATTAGTTTTTTTAAACTTGTATTTTAAAATAATTGATATGATTTTGAGTAGTTTTCATGTGCTTGTTTGATTTTTGTGTTTCCTCATGTAAGTTGCTTGTTCATATCTATAGTCCTATTAGGCCAATTCCCATATTCCCATATTTCTCTTCTTGTTGATTTTCAAGGGCCCCTCACTTAATCCAATTATGAATCCCTTGATATAGCCTTTCTTCATCCTTTAATTTTCTTTTGTTTTTTTTTTTTAATCCTCACCCAAGGATAATTTTTCCATTGCTTTTCAGAGAGAGTGGAAGGGAGAGAGAAAGAAACATCAATGGGAGAGAGACACATCAATTGGTTGCCTCCCACACGTGCCCTGACCAGGGCCAAGGATCAAGACTGAAACTAAGGTACATGCCCTTGGCGAGAATCGAACCTGGGACCCTTCAGTCTGAGGGTCAACGCTCTAACTGCTGAGCCAAACCGACTAGGGCCATCCTTTCATCTTCAACATTTCTAAATCTTTGTATGTGTGCGTATGCCCTGGATCTTTTTAAAAAATCCTTTTTGTAATTACTATGAAAACTTCTGACATCTCATTTCTTTTTTATTTTTTAAAATATGTTTTTATTGATTTCAGGAGGAAGGGAGAGAGAGAAACATCAATGAGAGAGAATAATTGATCAGCTGCCTCCCCCATACCCCCTACTGGGGACCCAGCCCACAACTGGGGCATGTGCCCTGACCAGAAATCAAACTGTGATCTTCTGGTTCATAGGTCAACGCTCAACCACTGAGCCATTCCGGCTGGGCTGACAGCTCATTTCATATTCTCCATTTACAGTGTTTTTCTGTTCCTTTTTTTTCTACCATCGTACTCATACCTAGTATTTTCTTTGTGTCTTTTTTATATCTCTTGTGCCTGCTTTATCTTTCTTATATTATCTATTATACTTAAAATTATTCATCTGTTCCAATACTTCTGCTTTGGATATTATGTGTCACCCACTATGGTAACCAGCCAACGATATAGCCCCCAATGATCCCTGTCTCCTGGTATTCACATCCTGCGTAGTTCCCTCCCATGTTGTACTAGGGTTGGTCTATGTGACCAAGAAAATAGAGCAGAAGTGATGGAATGTCATTTCTGAGGTTAAGTCATAAATAGACACTGTGGTTCTGTCTTTTTTTTTTTAATCTTCACCCGAGGATATACTTTCCATTTTCAGAGAGTGAAAGGGAGGGAGAGAAAGAGGGAGAGAGAAAAACATCGATGTGAGAGAGACACATTAATTCGTTTTTTCCAACATGCACCCTGACTGGGGCTAGGAATCAAGCCTGCAACTGAGGTACGTGCCCTTGGCCTGAATACAACTCGGACCTTTCAGTCTGCGGGCTGACGTTCTAATTACTGAGCCAAACCGGCCAGTAGTTAGGGTTGTAGTTCTGTCTTTTTATTTTCCTTTTTAAATTTCATTTAGATTTATTGAGCATGGGGAAAAAAACAAAAACAAGCAAAACCCCACTATACTCGGTTTTCTTGGTTTGAGAAAACTGAGAAGGATCTATCAGTCTTTTGAAGGACTGTTGTTCTCTCTTGATCACAGTCTCTCGCCTGATCACAGTCTCCCGCCTGTTTGCTGGGACCACGTGTTGTGAGGAGGCCCATGGAGAGGCTCAGGTGGTGAAAAACTGAAGCCTCTGTCAACAGCCCCATGAGTGGGCCATGTTCAAAGTGGGTCCTTCAGTCAAGTCATGCCTTCAGCTGACTGCAGTCCTGGCTGACAACTTGAATGAAAACTCAGAAGACACCCTGAATTAAAACTACTGGGCTAAACTGCCCCCACATTCCTAACCCTCAGAAACTGAAAAAATTGATTTGTTGTTTTAAACTGCTAAGTCTGGGGGTAATTCGTTATACAGTAATAATTAATACATCCAGTTTGTCTCTGGAGATAGTTATACTGCCCCGGTGCCTAGTTATTTTGGTGCTGAGCTCATATTCCCAGTGTGAGCAGCTGTTCTGATTGGTAAAATGTATTGAGGGAAGGCAGAAGGCTAGACTCAACTTTGTTCAATCACCTGAACTTCAAGGGGTAAGTGGGTATGTGATGAGATAAGCCAGAGGATGGACAGTTCCAGGCACAACAGCAGAGCTCTCCCACCTGTTATCACACCACCTGACAATTCCTCTAGCAGGGGTTTCATCTTTAATCCCTCAGAGGAGGCCATCTTCCTAGGTGCCACCACCAGCCCTGGTGTCTGGAGGGGGAGAGATGGAGTGACTACTTCTGGCTGCTCATTTCCTCCCCTCAGCAGAGGTTTGGTGCCCTGACACTAGCCCCCCAGACACCTGTCCCAGTGGTGGGGATGATTTCTGCAGTGATGGGGCAGACAAGGGCCTTCCC